GATGAGGATGAACAAATACAAAAAGTTGAAGATGATGAAGGAAGTGAAGACTTGTTGGCATCCGACCACAATGATGATGATGCATTTTCAAATGAAATTGAAGATTGAGTTCAAAATGAATGTTAGAAATTTGGATTAGAAGTCTCTTTGGTGTTTGAAGTTTGAATTAGTGAACTATGGTTATGAACTTTGCATTATAATATTAGTTAATTATGTTAATGACTTGAATAGTTAGTGGAGTATTAATGAAATGCTTTGTTTTTGTGAGTGTATGATTTTTTTTTCAAAAGTATATATATTTTTTTGTTATTTATTTAAAATTGCACTGTATCTTAAAATACACAATATGATACACTATTTTTAAAAAACGATACGCTTTCTGATACATGATTTGATAACTATGTCCATTAGTATGTTACACCTTAATAATCAAAGATGCAAAATAGAGATCCTTTATAGTAGGACAATAAATACTAGAGAATGACTAAACTAACTCTAATATTAAAATACTCTTAACATTGCCGTCACTGGTTGATGACGTCAGCCCTAGGTTGATCTCAAATTCTTTTTTTTATGAACACTTGTGTATTCTTATCCACGTTTTGGATCGAAACTTACTCTGATACCATGAAAACTTTAATTTCAAAGTATATAGAAAATAAGAAAAGAGGAAGAATATTATTAACAACTACATTAGTTTGCTATGAGCATAAATATACAAGATGAGGAATAAAGACCCTTTATAGTAGGGGCAAATAATACAAGAGAATGGCTAAACTACCTCTAATACTAAATTACTGTACAATACATACCCCATTGTTCATGAATAATTGAAAGATATAAGCCACCGGATACATGATAGATAGTTTATGCTTTAGAAACTTGGTTGTGAATAAATTGCTTGCTTATGCAGTTTTACGGGGTTGTGAGGTGCTCAGGTGTTATCATCACTAAGAATTTGCTTTATTAGGAATTAGGATAATATTCAGTAAGATCATGAGATCCTATTTAATAATTTCTCCAATTCTTAAGTAGTTAAATGGCGCGAGTTTGTCCCATGATACTTATATGGAAAGGAAATATGTTGAGCTATGTTACATGGGAGGCAACACAAAATAGTAAGAGGAAATGACTTTGAACCCCGCTACTGTTCAAGACATATCCATACTGGCAGATCTACCTTTGGGGAGGGGGTCCCTAGCCCCAGTCTAAATAGTCATGAATATGTCACAAACACGTTTTGGAGACACCTAGTCAGGTTTTGGACACATAGTGGATCATTTGTTATTTTAAAGCAGGATTCTTCTGTTAGTACAAATGTTTTTATATGACCTAATTCTTTCACATACCCAGAAACTAATTTTGTATTTTATTGCACTATAACATTACTTCATATTTTTTTTTCAATAAGAAATGCCAATTTAAAATGGCAAAACATTTGGACAAAATCCTACACATAAATATCTTTGTCGGATGAGACTACTCTTACCTGACAAGTGACTATGCCATTCCTCGATGAGTGTGCAACCCTCCGGCAAGTTTGTGGTTTGCCATTCTGTGAATTCTTGGTGGGTTACCTTCCAAGAGTTCTTGGTGCGTCAACACCACAGTCCTACCCATTACGTTTTAGTTATTCGAAACTCTCGTAATCATGATTTTTTTTCTTGCTTTAGTTTGTTTTCTCCCTTCTCCAGTGCTTTTATGAGAATATGAGCTCTGATTGAGTTGTAATTGCATGTTTAGCCTTTTTATTGCATTAGGGCTTTATGCAATGGATGTGATTTGCATATTTATGGTTTTTCTGGTTATTTATTTATTATTTGACTATGAAATTATACGTAATTGGCTTGCGATTGGCTTATATATATATATATATATACGTATATATTAATACCATTTTAATATTATTGACCTCTGTGTAGATTCATATAAACATACCATTTTAATATTATTGATCAGTAGAAATAAACAGAAGTTTATGCTTAAAGAGCCTATATCAACTCTTGAGCAGCCACTATGCAATCATTGTCAAAGATTAAGTCCTATATCAACAAGGGCCAACTCTTGGAGTGGTGGTCAAAGCTGGAGGCGGCACCGATGAGATTTAATGTTTGGATGCAAAGGCGGCCACTTTCACGATTAATGTCAAAAATATGTCTTTACTTAGTTTCCTCTCTTCCTACCCTCGATGTACTGGGGTCCACACAGTGAACTGGAGGTTAGGTACTTAGGTTTGTATGTATTCCTAACCAAATCCTGATGTGACCAACAATGGATAGGGGCCTTTCCCTTCTGGGAGAAACACAACATCAGGAAATATGGAAACGTTCTATATGCTTTTTGAATGAATTTGGATCTTTCATAGCCACGCTATTTAAAGTGTATTTATTTTGTATACCTTATTTAACACAATTAATAAACTGTGCATTTGTCATGGAGAGGGAATAATCATTTTGAGTTTTTGATCTAGCAGGAAACTGAAGCTCGAGGAAAATGTTGCCAGTATTTGGCCGGAATTCGAATCAAATCGAAAAAATTCAATAAAGGTCTAATATTTTGGCCATGACATCCTCTTGAAATATTGTCGCCGATAAGGTGTTAATCCTGTTTTCAATCAACTTCCCACAAGAAGAAATTGATTGACTTTCTGGATGGCTGCTGAGATAAATTAAAAAGAAGAAAACTACCAATCTTAGTTTTTCTTGGTTATTGTGGGATGAAATCTTCAATATATGAAACCAAGTAACTATGGTGCAGTTGAGTGGAAATTGAAAAGTTTCCCAGCTTTGCAACAATGAGTAATTAATGGCTTTTATAATTCCATTTCTTTTCCTTTTTTTTTTTCCCTAAACAACTAAATAGCTTTATATAAATAATTTTTGTATAATGTTTTCTATTTTTGATAGGTTCATCATTTGCTCAACCATACATCCGGTCTGCACAATGCCCTGGCCAACCTTACACGAGAAAATCCTTTACTTATGTCCGATTGGGATGAATGTTTGAATCTCATTGCTATGTCAGCTCCTGAGACTGAACCTGGCCATGAGCAGCTGTATCATTATCTATCTTTTGGCTGGCTAGTTGGTGGAATTATTGAGGTATTGTTGCACTTGTTTTTTTGAGGTTAATGTGATTGTACACTGAGCAATTGTTACAGATTCACAGAGCTTGAAGCCTTTTTAGTTCATAGTCTGCTTCAAGCAAGTTTCTTCTTGAAAATAATAATTATTTTCCTCCATTTTGAAGACCATAGGAGATAAGCATGATCTAGCTTCATATTACCAAATACAGTTAACAGAGTCAAACGTGGTTATTGTTCCAAAGCCACATACGGGTTATGTAGTTATGTTTGAACCAGACGGGTTGAAGTCCTAAAGGATATACCATAGCGGGATAAAGTAAAATTTGCCATAATTTTTGGAGGACAATTTCCCAAAATGTAAAAGACCAAGGAAAACAAGCCCTCATACCAAAACAAGAAAAGGAAGGAAAACAGGGGGGTCGAATCTACTTCATGTTAGTTACCTAGGCTGATACATTTGTTGCGCATGATGTGGTTCTTGGCTCTAACATGGTTAAATTTGAACAGCATGCATCGGGGAAGAAGTTTCAAGAGATTCTTGAAGAAGCATTCATTCACCCACTTCAGATTGGAGGCGAGCTATATGTTGGAATTCCTCCAGGCATGATTCAAAATATAATATTTATCATTTTGGCTTATTTGAGTTGGGAAGCTACAGGCAAATTCACTTCTGGTCATTATAGCTTTGATTACTCCATTGTTAGTTAATTACGGTCAGACTATCTAGTAACCAATATTTCGTTTGGTAAATAACTTTTATTGAGGAAACAATTAGTATGTGGTAGTTAAATAGTGGTATCGCTTAATAATGAAATTCTTCTCAAAAAAAAAAAATACTATTGTATTGCCTAGTCTTAGAATACAAGTAGAGAAGTGTATCTCTGATATCTAAATTTAAACGACATGTCCTTGCTAATAACATTGGTTGCACCTAGCCATTCTCATGAACGAGACTGAATGCCTATCAAGAAGACGAAGGGAATTGTTAGAATTCACTTATAAAATTCACAAGAAATTATGTGTTAATTGCAGCATGTACCTTCGTTTGCAACATGGGACAGTCTCCAGATTAATTCAGTTGCCAAAAATACAGGAAAAGTCAAGTCACGGACAAGGTAATGAGTTGGATCCTTGTTTATGTGAAAAAGACATTAATAACTTTTTTATCAGTCTCATTAGATGTGTAAACTTAGACCAAATTAAAGAAGAGGAGGAGAAAGGAAATCTATTGCTGCACAATAAGAAAAAGGAAAAATGGGGACAAAAGACGACATGTAAACACTACAACCAAGAAAAAGACTAGACGACCCCTAATCACAAGTAATTACAAATACAATCTTAACACCTCGTCAAACTCATGATGTGATAGTAAGAAGATCGAGATATGTCAAGAAGAAAATGAAAATGTTGCATGGTGTTAGAAGTCATGGAAAGCCAACTAAATGCATAGTGGAAGAAGCAAAATGCAAGGAAATGGTCCTAAGTTGAAGTTGGAGCATAAAATGAAGGTCAATCTACATGTAGTTGGTCCACCGGTGGAAAAGAGTTGGTCCACAATACATATAAAGTAGGAGTAGAAAATTAAATGCCTTAGATTGGCAAGCAGCCGTCTTAAAAGTTATATTTGACATAGTAGCGATAACTTGATATTCAACCTCAAGAGTGGAACAAGCAACAACAATCTACTTCTTGCTTTTAGGAAATTAGAGAATCACCAAGAAAAACACAAAAAACAACGGTAGAATTTATAATCCAGTGTATCACCTAACTAGTCAGCATCAGGAAGAGCACAAAACATTGATATAAAGTACCCTAAGGCTAGCACCAAAGGGAATACCTACAACCTAGTGAACTGTAGTTGGGAAAGAGACAAACTTAATTTCCATTGAACGACATAGTGAATATCTGGTTGAGTAATACTAAGATAGATCAAACTATCAACAAGAATCTAATACAAAGTAGGATCAACCAAAGAAATACCATCGACAAAAAGTGTAAGGCACATTAAGTGTGGGAAGAGCATTAATGGTTCGACAATCTATTAATTGAGCCTAGTAAATAACGTTAGTCTGGAAAAAAAATCCTTAGGAGACGAAGTCATTTAACCGTCCAAAGGATAACCATGGGGACAAAATTCTTTATCTCAAATTGTTACGGTAATTGAACCTTCAAGACCAATATGTCATCATAATCATCCCCATTTCATATCATTAACAGATATTAGGAGAACAATCTGACCAGCAGAAGTAAAAAGAAAAATGTAGAATCATGGTCACTAGATTGAAAATTCAAATCACAATTTATAGTAGAGAACTTATCAAACTAAGTCGAGGAATTTGTTTTTTGAGATCATACGGAGCTTTTCCAGTTTACATTCCTCACCTTCACCGGGAAAGCTGGAGGAGGGACACTAAAACAACATTCAGAAAAACATATAATAAAAAATACGAACAACGATCATCTTAGCGACGGAGGCAGGACCCTTGGCAATCAATCTAGCCTTCTATTTTTCAAGAGAACCATCCCCCGTGTTTTTAATCGTCAAGATGATTGGCAATCAACAACACATGTTCCAGTTTTATGCAATGTAGAAAATTCTTTATTCACAGGTTGTTACCAAATAGGATTAAGAGCAATCTCCTTATAGTAAGATGGATGGTGTATTCAAGAAAAAAAAGTACAAAACTAGGGGAATAACAACTATTACAATAAAAAAAGATGGTTAGGACACTTACGAGTTAACTCGGGATAAAGTGAAAAAGGAGAATCTGCATCGCTAGAAATAGATATAGACACAACTAAAAGNGATTGCTCTTGCATGGCTTATACAAATTCGGATATTAGAGGAACTGGTAGTGGTTGTGCACTATGGTTTGGTGATCTGATTGATATCAGACAGTTCCCCACTGACGGAGGCGATCTATATATAAGAATGTCTGCTTCAAGCTTAGGTATCTGTCTTTCTTTTATTTTTTCTGCTCTTTCATGTGCTTTTTTATTTTTTCTGCGTAAATGTGACTGTTTGCTTCCAGAAGGGACAAAGAATGGGACTACAGGGAAGTCGGATCCTGGAGAGGCAAAAGATGGTACCAAATGGATCATACCAGTTACTGTTGTAGCCCCCATTGCAGTAATTTCTGGGATAATTCTTGTCATCTATTACATTTGGAAGGGCAGGACAACAACAAAAGGTAAAATCTTAAACTACTAACATGCTCGTTCCCACATGCAAATTAGAAGACATTAATAGGTATATGATTTAAAAGTTTTGTTTTCTGAACTGGGAAGCATTGTCAAACTAACTTCACATTGTATTTTAAGAATTAAATTAATTTACAGACATTCAAATAGTACCCTTGGCATAGTAAAACTTCCATACTAGAATTTACTTGAAATTATAACATTCCTTGATGCTATATTTCTAAATTTTTGAGCTTCTAGTGTAGGAAATCCGTGTTTTACATGTATGATTTAACCATTTGTTTACTTATGTTATTTATCCTTGTGGGTGTTCCCTGTAACACGTATTGAAGAAGGGACCGATGAAGATCTAGATTTACCCTCATTTGACTTGTCTGCAATATCTATTGCTACTGATAACTTTTCAATAAATAAAAAGCTTGGAGAAGGTGGATTTGGACCTGTTTACAAGGCAAGCTGCTAATGACCATAAGTTGCAACGAAACACTAGATTTATTTGAGAATACCAATCTTTCAACATTTGGTGATTTTTCAGGGAACTTTAGTGGAAGGCCAAGAAATTGCTGTAAAGAGAGTTCTAAACAAGGCTTGATTGAGTTCAAGAATGAAGTGATACTAATCGCCAAACTTCAACATCGAAATCTCGTAAAGCTTTTTGGGTATTGCAATCAAGGAGAGGAGAAAATGTTGATTTATGAATATTTGTCCAACAAAAGTCTAGACTACTATATTTTTGGTTAGAACCTTAAAAAACTAACCATTTTAAGTAGATTGGTACATTTCTTATTTTTATAGTATTTAATGCCTCCGACTTTTTGTTGTGTGCGCAAAAGTTGGAGAAAAGACTAATTTGATAAGTGACAAAAATTACCAGATGAAACAAGAGATAAACTATTAAATTGGTCAAAACGCTTTCACATCTTTCGCGGAATTGCTCGGGGGTTTCTCTATCTTCATCAAGATTCGAGACTAAGAATTATTCATAGAGATCTCAAAGCAAGTAATGTGTTACTTGATAATGAGCTAAATTCGAAAATATCCGACTTTGGGTTAGCTAGAAATTTTGGAGATCAGGGTGAAGAAAATACAACGAGAGTGATTGGGACATAGTATGTCTACAAACCCATTTTTGTTCTCTATAACACCATAATCTACTTATGTGTTTTGACTTTTCATGATATTATGCAGTGGTTATATGGCACCAAAATATGCTATTTATGGAATATTCTCGGTAAAATCTAATGTTTTTAGTTTTGGTGTTCTTCTATTGGAGACAGTAAGCGGGAAGAAGAATACAGGANTATGGCACCAAAATATGCTATTTATGGAATATTCTCGGTAAAATCTAATGTTTTTAGTTTTGGTGTTCTTCTATTGGAGACAGTAAGCGGGAAGAAGAATACAGGACACCATCTTATTCTTATTAAACTCGTAAGTGTCAAGAATCTGATATTTATATAGGTTCGTTGTTGTAAAATTTTNCAGTCAAGGAAATATAGGATCGTTTGACAATCATGTATTCTGGCACTGGTAATTTTACTTATGAGGTATACAAATAATATTTTCTCCTTGAACAAAGTACTCTGAGTTTAGAAGATTATTATTCCCGAATTATCGGAGTTTGTGAGGAATTGATAATTCACCACCCGTTCATTGCTAATGCTACACTTATGCAGCGATGTGAGAATTTTGATGTTGTTCGCTTCCTTATTGGTTTAAAGCTTGAGTATGAGTCTATCTGTGCCTAGAACTTGGGTGGTCCCATCCTTCTATCTCTTCCAGATGTCTTTGCTCTCTTATAGTGTGCTACTTTATTCGATGACCATTCTACTTCTGACATTGATCATGGTACTTTTGCTTATAGCTTAGCCTTAATTGTCTATAATGACAATAGTGGTAGGACTCGAGGTGGTTGTGGCAATTGTGGTGATCGTGACTTTCGAGGGGGACATAGCGAAGGTCACAGAGGCCGTTCTATTACTTGTTCATGTACTCATTGTAGCTGTACTAACCACACTTTTGATTATTATTGGGATTTTCATGGTAAGCAGTCTAGCGTTACCAATCAAGTCCCCTCATTACTTGCACCATCATCACGTTCGGGCTTTCTCATTTCTTAGCTAGTTATTATTACATAAGAGGAGTAAACTTAGTTCATGTCCCATCAACAGATAGTACTATTTTCCTCAGCTACTTTTGCCTGGTTAGGTACTGCTTCCACTTGTTTATTGTCCTCCTCCCGCATTATCTAAATCATAGACTCAGACACTTCTGATTAAATGACTAGTTCGTCTAGCGTCTTTTTTACTTATCATTTTGTTACTCCCCCTTACAGTGTTACTCTTGCTCGTAGTACTTTCTCTAAGGTTTCAGGTTTGGGGACTACTCAATTGAGTCTCGATATATCTTTATCATCTATTTTATTTGTCTCAGTTTTTCTTTAGTTTACTTTCTATGAGCAACGTTACTCGTTCGCTTAACTTCTCAGTAACCTTTTATACTTCGTATTGTGTGTTTGAGGATCATCAGACGAAGAGGAAGGTTGGTACAAGACATGAACAGATGTCTGCATATGCTCCGGAGACAATTTTGGGGTGGAGATCCATCCGAACAAGTAGGGTCAATTGTTCAACATTTAAGCCATAACATTTAGCACCATAAAAATCTATAACCAACAAGTGCTCTCTGAACCAAGCTATTAACTTGGACTTTGATTCTTATGATTCATACTGGATTTCAAGATCATAAGCATTGTTTCTAACCATGTATTACCCACATGAAATAAGCATTCTTGGGTGGGGTGGGTCATCATTCACCAGGTTTTTGAGTGCCTGTCATACCAAGTGGTTGGTGCACATCCGGTCTACCAGCCCTTAGTGGCTATATGTCCAGTCGTGTGTGGTTATGTTTGTGATTCGTACAAATGGAGCCCATTGCCTACTATAACCTCTCGTTATTGAGCTGGGCCATTTCATCAAATGTTTGAGAAGGGCCCAAATCTTGTATTTTATGATTGGTGTGGCAATAGGCTTCACTTTTACGAACTGCCTTTCTAGCCATTGCAAGCTAGAATGGTAAGGGGCGCACAAGCAATGTGGTTGCACAAGGATGCGATTTGCCAATCTGGGGAAAACACATTAATCTTTCCCTATGGATAAGGAATGGCCTTTCCTTCAAACAGGGATCAGAGAAAGAAAGAGTTGTACTATAATATCGTTACACTCAACAGGAGGGTGCATTTATTTTCTTGAATGTTGAGCGATGGACATGACACCTATTTTTCTAAAAAGATGTCAGGTATGCTTGTCAATTACACATGCATGCACTGCCAGACACACGGAAGTAACTTAATAAAGCTGTTTCCCACGATTGTTGGTAATTGGAGGGTCAACTGATTTTACATTTCATGATCTTTGAAAATAGCATGCAGTTCATATATTTATCAAGATGGTCATAAAATTCTTCTTCTCTCCAATCCCTCACCATTTAGAACCTTCAATTGTCTACTTGCAGGTGTGGAGTCTCGACTTGCAACACTCACATTGGATATGGATGATCTCAACAAGCTCCCAGGGCTCGGCAGCCACTCAGAACTTCCTTCCAGCTTCCAAGACATTTCCCAGCTCGTGACTACGCTTCCTGCTATATTCAACTCGCTCAATGTTCGCCGTGCCATCATACCTGCTGCTAATGGACATTGCTCAGCTCGTGCACTCGCACGCTACTATGCAGCCCTTGTCGATGGTGGTGTAATCCCACCACCACATTCATCATCTTCCAAGCCACCACTTGGTAGCCACACCCACATTCCAAAGTTTCCCTCCCTGAAAACTTCCAATAAACAGGAAGGTGGCAATGTTCAGGAGTTGACCATGGCCTCAACCAGAACCAATGGTCCCAAACAGCTGCAAAACTTAAATAATTCCTTCGATACTGGTCATGGTAAAAAGGTTAAAAGTACCAATTACATGAGGCTTGCTACTGATAGTAGTTGCAGCAATAGTAGTAATCCCAATACAGTTGAAAGCAGTGAGGTTGATGGTCATGGAAACAATGGTAAGATTTTTAGTAATCCAAAGATTCATGATGCATTTTTGGGTGCCGGAGAGTATGAGAATTTGGTATTCCCAAATGGGATGTTTGGGCTTGGGTTTAAGAGGGTTAAATCAAAGGATGGCTCTTTTGTTGGCTTTGGTCACTCGGGTATGGGTGGATCTACTGGATATTGTGACATAAACAATAGATTTGCTATTGCTGTGACCCTAAACAAAATGTCATTTGGGGCTGTGACCAGAAACATAATTCAGCTAGTTTGCTCTGAACTAGATATTCCGTTACCCGAGGAATTCTCCAAAGTAGGGGAGAGGGGACCTTATATGCAGTTAAATTTGGAGACACCTCTGATCAATTAAGGACACATATCCCCTCTTTTTTGTCAATGTTTTTTCCGATGAGGAAAGAAGCCTGACATCTCTCAGAGGACAACAGCAAACAAAATAACGGAAACTTTATTGCTTATTGATCTCCATCTTCGGAATCGAGGCCTGGCAGTGCATGCCTCTGTAGGTGGAGTTTGGTCATTGTATACCTTAAGCTGTATTTTAGCTTCCTTTTTACTTCTTCTTTGGTCTTTATTAATGTACTGCACTGTTTATATTGTATACATATATTCATGTACAATAAACAGTCGCACCACATCATATTTTTACAATGAAAACTAGAGCTATTTATGATGGTTTTTTGGCACTCTTTTCTAAGAATATTATTGGAGAGATAATCACTTCAATGAGAAAAGGAGATGTACACCAAAAGCAGCGCACGTATACGGCACTGTTGATCTTGCAAATTGGGCGATAAAAGAACAGAAGGCAAACATCACATCCCAAGTGACGTTTAACTCATTTGCTGGCAAAGAAGGGAGCTTGCAAGCAAATCATGGCAATAAGCAAGATCAACATCCTCCAGTGGAACTTAAGAACCTCACCATGTAAACAGGAGGCTGAGGGCAATTCAACCATGTAAGCTATCTATAAGTCCACATTACATCAAATTTCAAAAACTAATTTGAACAGTCATATCCCGAATGGCGGGCAGTAAACATGCTGTAGACTGGAACCAAAAAATATGACGTTTGAGGGATAAATGATAACTCAAAAAGTTACTATCCATCACAAAATATTATGATTGTTGACAAAAAAAATAATTTTTAAATATCAAATTATACTTTGTATAGATCGAGTTATAACTAATTAAGGTTATCTGTAATTAATTATTACATTTGATAATCAATCACGACATTTGTTGTGGGGGTCATGAATTACTTCTTTTAGTTGTTATTTGTCCCTTAAAAATTATTACTTGATCCTCAAAAGTTATTATTTGTAGTGCAGCACCCAAAAATCATGTTTGGCTGTCTAGAAGTACCCTTTAAGGTAAATCAACCACACGTATTGCTTGACAATGAGCAGTGCCAGTAAAGTGAATTACGAAATGTTCGATGTACGGAGAAAATCTCATACTTGTTACTGACGTTAGTTTGAAAAGATAAATTATGTTTTTTGTGCGTGAAACGAGCAACGTAAACTGCCTTCATGCAAAAAGGACAAACTAAGTGGGCTGGAAAATAATATATCCTTGCAGAACTAACTAATGCAAGAACTAGTTTTTCCAAATGCAAATATTGGGTCTTTGTATCAAGGAGAGTTTTGCTAAAGTGGTAGACTGATCTCATTTCTTTTGCGCATAGTTTCGTTAGAATCCCCGCTGATTGAGTGCTCTAAGACTGTTAGGTACATATATAGTGATTCCCCTCTTTCAGGTGTTGTGAGAAGGGACGGTTTTGTCAACTTGGATTTCAAATCTTTAAGTGCCTTATCGCTCTCCTGTGTCATGATTCCCTTTCCGTCCTGCTTCAAGGCTTGGAAGAACGGTAGGCACCGATCATATCCTCCGGATATAAACTTGTTAAACACAACTGTCATTCTTGTTAATTTATGCATCTCTTTCATATTTCCTTGGGGGTTGTAATTCGACCAGGACCTTGACTTGGTCGGGGTTCACCTCGATCCCCCTCGTGGTTACTAGGAATCCTACAAATTTTCTTGAGCCAATCCCGAAAACACACTAAGAAGCATTCAACCTCATTCCGTACTCCCGAAGAATGCTGAAAGTCTTCTAGAGGTCAGTCAAGTGATCTGGCACCTCCCAGTTCTTGACAAGCATATTATCAATATATACTTCCATAATTCTCCCAAGCATCCCCTTGAACATTTGGGTGACCAGTCTTTGGTAAGTTGCCCTCACATTCTTTAGCCCAAAAGGCATCACCATATAGCAAAAGACCCCCTTGATGTTATAAAAGACGTTTTCTCTTGGTTGGGCTCAAGAAGGGGGATCTAATGATAGCCTTTATAAGCAGCAAAAGAGCTCATCCGTTCATGTCCAGATGTGGCATCGACCATTTGATCTATTTTTGGAAGGGAAAAGTTGTCCTGGGGGCATGCTTTGTTTAGATTTGTGAAATCTACGTAGACTCTCCACTTTTCATTTTTCTTATTTACCATGCTATGTTGGAGAGCCAAGTTGGGTGTATTGTACTTCCTTTATTGACAACGCCTCTAGTAATTTTCCCACTTCCTCATTTCGCTTGAGTGATGAGAGGGCGGTCATATGGTGGTGGTCACTGGAATGAAAATTAAATTTCAAATCAACCTACGGGAGCAAACTACTTAAGCCACCCCAAAGAACAGTCCTGTACTCTTCTATTAGGCCTTTGGCCCATTTTTTCCTACGTCATAAAGAGTCCACTCTAGCAAAGGCTAGTGAATATAGAGTAGTCCTGATGAGAGTATAATATTGCATATTTAATGTCTCATATCATACATCTTAGCTTTCTTTGTTATTTAATTATCTTGCTTTAGTTTAGTTTTATGTTTTACAGGGAATCTTTGTGTTTGTAGGTGAGTTGATGTACATACAAGGTTTTACATTGATTTTTATACTTTGGAAGACTTTGGGTTTGAGCTAGGAGAGCCACGAGTTGAACTAGAAGCTTATAGTGGAAATTCACAAAAAGTGAGGTTGTACTAGTAGGTTTCCTACCGGTTTATCGGGCAGCGGATGGAGGTTCTATTGGTAGCTATGATGTTCTACCACTTAAATCAAAACAGAAACTTTCCTACCGGTTGGTCATTTCTCTTCGACCGGTAGATCCAAAATAGAGAGTAGTTGTACCAATAGTTGTGAATACCTACCAGTTTATGTGGAACGGTAACAGTGCTACTGGTAGCTTGTAACCTGCTTCTTATCGGTTCATCATTGTTTTATGCCGACGAGAAATCTTTTGGAAAGAATATTGGCTAGGGTCTTTTAAGGGGTCCTATTGGTGGAAAAATGAATGGAAAAAGTAGGCATTATTTCCAATAAATATCAAAGCTAAGCAAGGGAGAGGGGATCGATCTATTATTCTTTATACGATTTTTTTCTTCTCCAACCCTAGAAACTTGAGTTTCGTTCTTTTGGTATTTTTACATGTTCTTTGTTGTTTCTTGTTCTTCATATTTCCGAAGTATTGTTTCCTTTTAGTCTTTTAATTCTAGCAAGAACGAGTATGTCGATTCTACAGTTTAAATTTCAATACAAGGTACTTTGTTAATTTCAATTCAAGTTCAATTTCTCTTTTGTTTATGATGACGTCTTCAATAATTACTTTTAGTTTTACTTTTACAATGAGTGAGTAGTAAATTTTCGGTATGATTGGATGAGGGATTCTTATCCGTGAATATGTAGTTTGACCTAACTAGGTTTATGATGTTATAGTTATTTTATTGATTGAACAAATGATTTTGGAAATGTGGTTGATATATATGTCTCTTTGCTTATTTGTAGACAGTTAGATTTGGCACGAATAATTCTTGGAATCACTACAATCAATGTGACTGTAATTCTTTCACTAGTTAATTTAAATACACATTAGTTGTTTTCTTGATTTTAGTTTTAATATTTTTCGTTCAAGGGTGTTTGATTACAATCTTGAATGAGTTATTTTTTTAAGAATTGCATGTGGGCATGAGACACTACACACAATAGACTTGTTAGACTTTACCCCCACACATAATTTTGACATGGAAGGAGTAAATAACGAGGATCCACAGAACGAGATAAATAGGGGACATAACTTTTCGTTAGTTCCTCCCACTAATCCGAAAAATGATGGAAATAATCCCCTAGTTGTTCCTCCTATACGAACAATGAGGGAATATCTCCAACCCATGCAAACCTTTGCAACATCTTGTATCCATCTTCCAGTGTAGGCACATGATTTTATTATAAAACCTGGAATGCTCCAGCTACTTCCTCAATTCCATGGCGTGGATAGGGAAAATCCCAATCTCTAAATCAAGGAGTTTGAGGAAGTGGTTAGTACATTCCTTGAACAGAATGTGTGGGAAGAGGTTGCGCGGATAAAGTTATTCCTATTCTCTTTGAAAGATAAAGCAAAATCTTGGTTGAACTCTTTAAAGCGCCAACCTATAGCTACATGGGCTGATTTGCAAAAAAAGTTCTTCCCAGTTCATAAAACTACTACTTTAAAGAAACAACTTCAAATATTTTTTGAAAAATCAAATGAATAGTTTAATGACTACTGGGAAAGATTTAAGGATATCTTAAACATTGTTCCATATTATGGTTTTAAACCGTGGTAATTGGTTAGTTTCTTCTACAAAGGAATTACCCCTGCACATCACTAGTTCATTGACATAATGTGCAATGGAGATTTTTTGAACAAAGTGCCCAAGGAAGCTCTAGATTACTTTGAGAGTTTGGAAAAAAATGCCTAATCTTGGGATATTTCAGACCTTAACGAAAGATCAAAGCAATCTATTGCATCCCCATTTAGAGGGGGTGAAAAATATTTTTTGAGAGATTAAGATGAGTTGCTAGCCAAGATTGCACATTTATCTAGGGAAGTGGAGAACCTAGAGGTTATGTAAGTAAATGAGGTGGTTAGTGTTCCTCAGGTTGAGGTTCTTTGCACAATTTGTGAGTCGGTTGAGCATTGTGTTATAGAGTGCCCGACCATACCAGCTTTTAAGGAAGTGCTCCATGAGCAAGTGAATGCCTTTAATCAACCGAGACAACAATTTTCTCCTTATTCAAACACTTATAATCAAGGATGGCTTAGCCACCCTAACTTTAGTTAGAGAAATGACACCTCAGTTGCACCTTCTGCCACCCATGTCTTTTGTCCCTCCTATTAACCAACCAGCGTCCGGTCCTTGTTCGTCCACAAGTACTCAGCCCCTTATGCATGCATCCCATGGGTTTGTTTAAAACCCACCTCAACAAAGGTTTGGTCCCCTAACACAACCCATTATACCTCCTTACTAGCTCCCACATAAGAGAAGCTTAG